AGAAAATATTTGCAAATGAAGCCACTGACAAAGGATTAATCTCCAAAATTTATAAGCAGCTTATGCAGCTCAATAACAAAAAAACAAATGACACACTCCAAAAATGGGCAGAAGACCTAAATAGACATTTTTCCAAAGAAGATATACAGATTGCCAACAAACACATGAAAGAATGCTCAACATCATTAATCATTAGAGAAATGCAAATCAAAACTACAATGAGAGGGCTTCCCTGGTGGCGCAGTGGTTGAGAGTCCGCCTGCTGATGCAGGGGACACGGGTTCGTGCCCCGATCCGGGAGGATCCTACATGCCGTGGAGCGGCTGGGCCCGTGAGCCATGGCCGCTGAGCCTGCGCGTCCGGAGCCTGTGCTCCGCAACGGGAGAGGCCTGCGTACCGCAAAAAAAAAAAAAAAAAAAAACTACAATGAGATATCATCTCACACTGGTCAGAATGGCCATCATCAAAAATCTAGAAACAATAAATGCTGGAGAGGGTGTGGAGAAAAGGGAACACTCTTGCACTGCTGGTGGGAATGTGAATTGGTACAGCCACTATGGAGAACAGTATGGAGTTTCCTTAAAAAACTACAAATAGAACTACCATATGACCCAGCAATCCCACTACTGGGCATATACCCTGAGAAAACCGTAATTCAAAAAGTGTCATGTACCAAAATGTTCATTGCAGCTCTATTTACAATAGCCAGGAGATGGAAACAACATAAGTGTCCATGATCGGATGAATGGATAAAGAAGATGTGGCACATATATACAATGGAATATTACTCAGCCATAAAAGAAACGAAATTGAGTTATTTGTAGTGAGGTGGATGGACCTACAGTCTGTCATACAGAGTGAAGTAAGTCAGAAAGAGAAAGACAAATACCGTATGCTAACACATATATATGGAATATAAGAAAAAAAATGTCACGAAGAACCTAGGGGTAAGACGGGAAGAAAGACACAGACCTACTAGAGAATGGACTTGAGGATATGGGGAGGGGGAAGGGTAAGCTCTGACAAAGTGAGAGAGTGGCATGGACATATATACACTACCAAACGTAAAATAGATAGCTAGTGGGTAGCAGCCGCATGGCACAGGGAGATCAGCTCGGTGCTTTGTGACCGCCTGGAGGGGTGGGATAGGGAGGGTGGGAGGGAGGGAGACGCAAGCGTGAGGAGATATGGGAACATATGTATATGTATAACTGATTCACTTTGTTATAAAGCAGAAACTAACACACCATTGTAAAGAAATTACACTCCAATAAAGATTAAAAAAATAATAAAAATAAAGATGTAAAACAATAAAAAATAAATAAATAAAATAAAAGTAAATGTTCTCCTACTACCTTTCTTTATTGAAAAGAATCTGGATAATGCAAGACAACTGTTTAAAAAACAACAGAAACAAAACAAAAGCAGTACTTTCAATCATGTATTTGTGTGAACTTGGATTTTCTTAATCCTCTGTGAGCAAAAACAAAATTCAGATACAAACTGGTTGCCGAGACCAATAGCAGACTGCCAATTCCAAATTTTCATGTTCTTCAAGTAGCTGCTTTGTTCTCATTAACTTATAAAATAACTGTACAGTAATAAAATACCATAGAAAATACTACATACATATGTAGTAAAGTTTTACATAAGATTTTATTTTTCACAAAGATTGTGGTACTAAATGGAAAGTTTGGAAACTTCAGCCCTTGATCATTTGGACAATGGGACGGGGAGGGTGAGGTTCCATGCATAAGACCCTCTGGTTCCTGCTCTACCCCTGAATGTTAAGACCACCTCTTTCTCTTTCCTGTCCAACCCCCTGTGGCTCTGCAGGAACCAGGAAGAGACGAAGATTCAGAAAGCTGAAATGGAGCCTGCAACCCTTTTCTGCTGCACGGGTCCACTACACAGACGTGACCCTGCTTCAATGCCCAGCAACTTCCACCAGCCCCTCCTTCCTTACTCTAGGTAATACTGACATAGAAAACAATGCAAGCCAGTCTTGCTAAGATCTCAGGGCTTCCAGGTCTGGAAAGTTTGCACTCTTATCCAGGAACTTCCTTCCCTCTCTGGCATTCTTCAGTTTAATCCATTGATTAGTGAAAACTGCTAATGACACACCATAAGGAAAAATACCAACAGGAAAAGGTAGAGACAAACAGGAACGTTGAGCCTGGCCATCTCTTTGGGAAAATTCCAGAAGTAAGGGGTAGACAGAAAGGTGAAAACCTACAAAAGAAAGCATGTGGGAGAGCTGTGGGCCTTTTCACTTTTGTATAAATATACGTAAGAAAATATACGTAAGACCATATTCTATATTCTACAGTAAAGTGCCATTATCTTTGTTATAATTTTCCAAGTAAATGTGGTCACGTTCAAACACTGCAGCTTCAGTTCCACTATATTTCATATTATTTAGCCACTATACACAGTAAGCCTATTTCAACCATAACATCTCTATATCACACACACATAAAACTTTTCTGCATTCTGCATTTATGCCAAAACATTTCAAGTTAGAGGAATGACACATTATTTCAAGTCAGAGGAATGACTAAGCAGATAATCCCTTAGAGGTGGTTCTTAATCTGAATTGAACTACACCTCGCATAGTTATCCTCTACAGGTTTAGAGATTCTGAAAAGTTGGAAGCTTGTTAGTTTGGTGACTTTCCAGTACAATATGAGAATTCTATCTGTCTGAAACAGGAATAGCCATAGTTAACTGGTGAAGCTGAATCATGGGTTCATGGAGGTTCAGAAATGTATTCTATTCTGTATCCTACTTTTGTACATGTTTAAAATTTCCCATAATGAAGTTTTTAAAAATAAAATGTATCTGCCTTCCTTGAGATCTATTTTAAAACAGATTCTATCAGCCAGCTTCATCTAACTCTTCCTGTGACAGAAGTCACACACTAACCAGCCTCGCCTACGAAGACTAACACGTTCTTTCTGTTCCCTTTGGCCCTGCTTTGCAATTTTTCTTTATTGAATGTTCTCACACTTCTAACATTCACTTATTCACACTCTTCAGACGTCACTAGAGACTTTCTGTCCAATACTTCACTTCCCTATATACCCAAACAGAGAAGAGAAAAATCCTGAGCCTGATGTAATTCAAGTTCTATTACATATCCTACAGTTCGGGGTCAGCAGATATGATTACAAATAAAGGTCAATACAAAAACAATGTAAGACTGCTCCAAAATGCAAACGAATTTTCCAGAAATTCTAAAACCACTGAGTCCCTGTGAGGCCTCACAATCTTTATCACAAAAATCAGCAGCTTATAAAGAATTTTAGCCAAAATGTGCGCAGAAAATAAAACAGTATATTTGCCCTTGGGTTGGGCTGTATGGAGTAAAACGATGCCTTGTCACCTTAGCTGGCTTGCTGTGGGTAGCTCTCCTGACACTTCCCCAAATAAGACAGAAGCTCTTAGATCTTTGATTTAAACCCTTACATCGATTTCTCAAAGTTGCCATTTTTCTTTCCTTCCTTATCCTTTCTTCCCTTCCGGCTTTGTGACATTAACAAGCTAAGTAGGACCAGAAATCAATTGTCCTTTACCCTCCTGACTTAGTTCCTCCACGCCAGCCCCTGCCTGATCTCATGCTCTTGTTTTCACTCAATGCCTTTCTCTGGCCATGAAGCTTCGGAGGTGAACAGGACACTCTCTGTCTTCAAAGAGGTCACTTTCTTCTCTCCTTTGACCCTGGGTTCCTGTGTTCCAGTGCTCCATCTTGCTGAAAGGTGAGGGCCTGTTTAACTTAAGCCTTGGCATGGAGTCAAGGTAATTGTTGTCGGGTTTGGGGTTTGTTTCTAACAAAAACCCATGGACAAATAATGTACATAAAATAAAAGCAAGACGTGTCTAGCAGTTCTTTTGAGAAAAATCAGGAGGTATTTTAAGCCATTCCCACTAGAGAGCACTAGACCCAGCACAAGTCCTCAATCACCTCTTCTGCCACCTGCCTTCACCCCTCGCTGCCCCTTATGCCACCCCAGCTGTATGATTCTAAAAACCTCTTCCACATACACAAGGTCCGTACAGAACTGTGACCTTGCCTGTTGTAGAAAGTTGGAATTCCTGAAACAGATTTTATACCCTTCCTACCGATGGAGCTCAGGCCCCATCTTATTGGTTTCAGACCCTGCCTCAAATAGGGGTTCTGACACTGCAGTGAATTCAAGGGCTCTAGAGACAGAAACAGCTGAGCCTGAGGGATTCTTTTTTTTTTTTTTAACATCTTTATTGGAGGATAATTGTTTTACAATGGTGTGTTAGTTTCTGCTCTATAACAAAGTGAATCAGTTATACATATACATATGTTCCCATATCTCTTCCCGAGCCTGAGGGATTCTAAGGGTAGGTGTGGAGGTGCCAGGAATAGATAAACAAAGAACAAAGCTTGTCAGTCTTACCATAGCCTGCTCATAATCACATTATATACCTCTCGTGCTTTCTAGCAGTTTCTACACATCACAACCCTGTTCTCTCTATTTTACAGGTTAGGAAAAACCGAGGTCCAGATTCATCCAAAGTTACTTGGCATCCAGCCCACCACCAGCAACCCCTCTGGGCAGGAGTCACTGAAGATCAATTAGGTCTCAGGACACTGATGACAACCTTGAATGTGTGGCCCTTTCTCCTTTGCAACGATGAGATCAGCAGACACAGGCCGACCCCAGGAAGCGTCTGATCTCTCAGTCCAGCACAGTCCTCTGTCCATGCTCTCCAGCCAGACCTCCAGGAATAAAACTGTGTTTAACAAAATTGTGTATAAAGCTCAGAGAGGGCTTCCCTGGTGGCGCAGTGGTTGAGAGTCCGCCTGCCGATGCAGGGGACACGGGTTTGTGCCCGGTCCAGGAGGATCCCACATGCCGTGGAGTGGCTGAGCCTGTGGGCCATGGCCGCTGAGCCTGTGCGTCCGGAGCCTGTGCTCCGCAACGGGAGAGGCCACAACAGTGAGAGGCCCCCATACCGCAAAAAATAAATAAATAAATAAATAAAATAAAGCTCAGAGAGACCACACACTGTGTGGAAGCGTGGGGGCATTTCAGTAAGAGGCTGCTAGAACTTACAGGATTGGGGCTTTGGTTTGGTGGTTTGGGGGAGGGTTCAAGGAACAGAGTTTCACTCTGGACTGGGTGCTGTCAGGAAGGGGGGCTAATCCTTTGATCATGTAGCTTAATAAATCTCATCTAGGACAGATGGGAGCAGTGCTAAAGCCGTCACTGGTACAGCAGCAGCGCTGACTGGGATTTGGCAGGAGAGGGGTGTTTGGTATTTTGCAATTTGCAGTGATCTTGTTTTTGTCCATGCTTAGGTGAAATTACAAAGTGGTCTTGTTTATTGTTTCACTTCATCATGGTCATACCACGACCTTGTCTGAGGTTGGTGTCCTGTGAGGTTGTTTACGTCCTACCGGGAAACACCATGGTCCAGCTGGAGTTGCTGGGCCAGCTCCAGAAAACATCCCAGGTGTAGCTATCGCTGGCTATTTCCTGGCTATCGGGGGCTGCTTTCCCCCCCGCCACCCCTCAGCTCTCTTTAGTCTTGTCTTTTATGTCTGGAAGATGTCGTGGGGATTAGATTAAATGAAATAGTACAGCGCAATACCCCACAACTTCCTGTTTAAGTAACTAGCTCTCGTACGCTCTCTGTTGTTTTGGCAATTGTGTCTCTACCTCCCTGAGGACCTGAGAAGGGCCCTTCAGACAAACACCTCTCATTATCATCCCAAACCCAACATTATGACCAACGTCTGACTTAGGTGACAAACCTCTAACATCATCCAACCAGGAAGCCACAGTCAGGACTCGAACTCAGACCTTCTGCTTCCTGACCCTTTGCTTTCCGCACATGCTGTGACGATGGCACCAGCTAGAACCTGGGCTTGCAATTCCAAGTCCAGTAGGGCTTTTTCACAAGACTATTGACTTGAGTCTGAAATTCTCCTATTAGAGATCAAGGTCAGGGCAACGACAGAAAGGGCATAGAGTCCGTACGTTGTCTATCAGATAGGGGCACTTGTGGGTCTTGCTGCAATCCCTCCTGACTCTGCAGGGCAAAGGCACAGATTGGGACAGACATTGCAGTGAGACCTGAGGCCAGGAGCTATGCTGTGTCACATCAGAAGGGTCTCAACCTTATTCCCCTCCTCTTACCCCCTGAGATTCACACCCCACCTCCTCATTCTTCTACATTCTCTACCAGTTCCTATCTGAGGGCAGATTCTGCGGTGAGTTTGTTCTTCACGATCTTTGCAGACCCCTCAAATGACACAAAGATCAGAACAACCAATGAAATGTCCAGGAGGAGGGTCCCTCTCCATTCTGCAGTCTTCACGCCTACTTCTGCTGGAGGCTTGTAAGTCAAAGTTGGAAAAGACAACATATTTAGGCTAATTTATACTTATTTCTGGTTCTCTGGGCTTTGGGGTAACAAAGATGGAAAAATATGCAGAAACAACTTCTTTTCAAACTATTCTATGGGGTTGGGGCGCAGCAAGAGAATGGGTTTCTCCTTTATACAGGTTTTATAACCCACTGAAAAATATTTTTCTACCCCTCAGCTTGGGAAACAGGCAATTCTCAACCCAAGACGGGCTCTACAGTGAAGAGACCTAGCTTTCTGCAGAAGACTCACTCTCCAATTTTCCTTGTGTTTATTTTCAGTTATCTCAGCACAGAATGTTCTCTCAGGCAAGGTCAATTAAGAGACACTCTCTGAAATACAAAAACAGTTGCGTTGGATCATAGAAAGAGGACTTGGTTAAATATATAGAAATAGTGGTTTCAACTATTAAATTATTTTGCTTCCTGTCAAGTCAAATCTGCATCTCAGTTTTCTTCTCCAAGATCCCTAACTACCAGGACGAGGTAAGAACAAAATAGGATTTCCACCAACAACACAAATGCCCAACCTTCCCGTGCAGTTTCTGTGGAATTCCACGCCACCTTGATACAACCTGTATGCTCACTCGAGGGAGGAGAAGAAAGTGAAAGACGCACCCATGTAACTTACAACATGAGTATGATACCCCCAAGATTGTTAATAAATACTTTATTATGAATCATCATGTGGGAAATGAGTAGAAAATTAGGAATCCTTTTTACAAAATCTAATGTTTCTGACTCTGGTGTCTTAGAACCAAAATGAAGCTATTTTTCATTCATTTGTAAGCTCCTAATGTGTTTTATTCAACGCACTATTAAAACATAAGGGAACCCAAAAAGGGAACATAGGTTGATAAGCCAATAAAATCATTAGTCACATAGCTTAAAAACTCATGCTGGATTGATTTTGGTTAAGTTCGGAGAGGCTCTAATTATTTGGTAATCATGGAAAGAGATCGTTTAGATAATTTATTCATAAAATCCTGTTAAGACTTTCAATATTCTGGCTCTTTTAACATGAGAATTAAGAGGCAAAATGCTCAAGTCCATCACTGTAACCTAATGGATTTAAGCATTGTTTTAAAAAATTGTGTCGTCCCTAGTAGAAGAAGCTAAAAGGCAGCCTAAGGCAACATGGAGAGCAGGCAAGGAGGAAAGTGGGACACAAGAAGGGGACCCAAGGTCAAGAAGGAACCGGGCTGCTTTACCCACAGCACCAGCTGGAGCAGTGTCCATCTGTTCAGGAAGACCCAGGCTGAATACCAAAATGAGCCAGATTGTGATGAATTTCGCCGCCCACGTTATCTCCACAATTTAAATTTCTCTCTGGCAAACTTTTTTCTCTGAGGGAGGGAACTAGAAGAGGGATCCTATCTGCTTCACCTTTTTATCCCCCAACTCCTGTCCCCTTGCCTAGCATATAACAGGTGCTAAATAATGGCTTAATTAAAAATCTCTCCACTTGGGACACCTCTAGGACAAGTCTAAGAGGTCTGAGTACCATCTCCACGGTCAAAGTGTTCCCTCGGGGATGGGGGGGTGGGGAATGACTTAGCAAGCTTTTTTATCTTCATGGGGATACAAGGCATGGAAATGGAAGGCTTCGTTCTCTGTTCAAGGGGTTTTAAGTCTCAATGAACAGAGGGAGGGAAATTTGGAGAAATGGGCAACTCTTCTCATTCCCCAGAAACTGTGTCGTGCTGGTGGTGACGGGCCTATCCTATAAGCCCTATAGGACAGATGGACAACAGGAGGCCAAGAAAAGAAAACCCCGTTTTCCTGACGTCTTCCATTCCCATGGCCGTCATGGCGGACGCAGGCTCTTCCCCAGCAAGCCTGTCCCAGCTCAGCCAGGTTCAACTGAGCTGCCCTGGGAGAAGATAGGTGGAAACCGGGAGACTTCAAGGCACATTGCCTCGCTCTTGGTCTGTTGCGTCTTATTCCCATCACTGGGCCCAGGAAAATGCATTCAAATGACAATCTCCTGTCCACACACGGACCCCTTGAAGTGACTGGTTGGGGGGAAGAAGAGTCTTAAGCATTTTAACAGCAAGCTTGAGTCTCAGCCCTGGGAGGGCCACACTCTGAGACCATAGAACATGGGCCTGCACTGCCCCACTTCTGGCAGGCCAATGGAGGGACCGGTGTGCACCCCGCTGGGGTCACTGCAGCTCAGACCCCGCCCAGAAGCCTGGGGCTGCTGGCAGCACACCAGGGCCCGGACCGCACTCCTACCCTTTCCTAGAAACCAAATGCTGATGGGATCAAAGAGCTGGAAGCCACTTTTTTATTTTGGGAATGGATCTTTTATTTCGTAACTGGTAAAGGGTATTTTCTATGCAAAACCGCTGCTAAGCAATTCACTGTGATGCCTAATATACCTACCCTAATTCTTTTTTTCACTGATAGTCTCAGTTTGCTCTTCCCCAGACAAAGGTTTCTGGATTAATTGTGCTGATCTTTCTCAATCAAAAAAGAGGTGAGATATCTCCAGAACACCAACTTTATGAACGTGGACAGTACGTTATTATTACACGTCCATTACTACAATGACCAGAATATTCTTTACAATGCTTCAAAATTGGGTTTGTAATGATTACCTGCACAGGAGGCTTACCAATGACTCACATTTTATGAAAAGGATTTTAAGTCCATGTGTATAATGCTACCGAGATAGAATTCTCTAGGAAGAGAATTCCTCTTTTATTTATTTTTTGCCAACAATTTTGGAGGCAGGGTGTTAAACTGATTGAAGTTTCACAAGATTGACATTACTGCTTGAAGTGCTTGAATTGGTTACATTTAAAAAAAAAAAAAGGTACAGATTATTTTAAATGAAAACTAAAAAAAAAATTTTTTAGCAACAAAGTCAAATAAATGAATGCCACACAAATACAGATAACTATTCTGGTTATACAGAAATGGAAGCCCAAATAAATTAATTCAATACCGAAAAACAAATTTAATTAGGCAGAAACATAGGAAATCATTTTCTCCGACCCATGCCACTTACGTGAGTTAATCACACTAGTGCTGATAAATGCCTTGACCATATAATAGCAAACGAGGGCAAAACATTTAGTGCACAATATTTTAATACACGTGAATATACAAAGTTGATCAAAATGCAATGTTTAAAGATAAAATCCATCTGTAATAAAGCTACACTCCAATATCTAAAATAAGCCCTAAGCCCCAGTTAGAACATAGTTTCATTGTTAGGCATGCCCGTGAGAATTAAGGGTATCCATGAAAATAAATGCACAGGGACCATTTCTGTCATTCTTTTCCCCATTTCATCTGAAATCCAAAATATACCAGGCTATAAAACCAATATGACTGGTTTCCTAGTCAGAGCACCACCCTCTTGGGCTGCTCCCTTGGCTCTCTTCAAACCAGCCCACTTCGTGTTGCCTCGGAATGGAAAACGCATCAGAATAACAGGACTGGGCGTCAGCATTCTACCAACATTGACTTTCAAACAAATGAAGGTTTTTATCACACGGTAACATAATCTAGATGTTAAACAAGAAGTAACCAATAAAGCAAATATTCCTTCTCTTTTTAAAGTGGAAAACACTGCAACTTATTTTAAAACACCCAGCAGTTAAAAGGAATACAGCAGGCCTGCTCACTCCTGCCAGAAAACGACACACAAAAACCCTGGCCACTTGAGGGAATATTGCTGAGCCTTTGTGCTATTGTTGACCTCAGAATGGTCTCACACATCCCACACCATCTCTGCTTCACACAATGAATGAGGGATGAAAAATAAAGAAGTGTTTATGTGCTCTAGTCTTCACATAAAGTGAAATGACTGAGGGGGAAATGTAGCTGCCTCGTGTTTCTTTCGTTTATTAAAGAGGAAGGGGGAAGAAGTTCCCAGATAGCTCTGAAGTTTAAAAAACTGATGGAGTGTTGGCGGATAAGTGTGTTTTGGCCTTTTTTTCAATCTTCTTTTCCTGCAACACACAACCATTTTAGTGTCTCTGTGTTAGCTTCGATACTTACTTTTTTAGTCCAAGAATTTATCCGTGAATACTTAATTTTAACTAACCTTTTCTACTAAAAGGCATTATTTCCGTTAAGTCACTGCGAAAAACTTTTTACACATCAAAAAAAAAAAAACTGAATCTATGACATAGCATTCAGATATTATTTCCTTAGACTTCCAACTGAAAAATTTTTTTCTAATAAATTAGCTTCAAGAGTCATTTCAAAGATAATTTTCATAGTTTTTCTCATGTATCAGTTCCAAATATATTAGGGATCAATCAGGGTTTTTTTAAACTTTGCAACCTGCAGTCAAATATATGGTTTATGTATAGTACAAACAGCTCCCTCTAACAGTCACCTTCAACTGGAAAGTGTCTCTCCTTAAAAGAGAATAAAAACACACCTTCCAGGTACGCCATTACTGCATAAGTTTTGTGGAGGAAAAAAAGACAAACTATTTATAAATATGAATTCACCTCTAAACAAGGCAAGGTATATTTTCATCACTTTTATAAAACAATAACGTGAAGATCACCCTGCTTTTGTCTTCTCCAGTGAAAAGTAAAACATTTCACTTCAAGCATGAACAGATGAAGTGTTGGCATGCTTATGTAAGTTGTGAGCGACAAACAGTTCAAGATACTTCAAAGATAAGAAATCCAGTTTTCATCTAGATAAAGTGCTATGCTCTTAATTGTCGCAAAATGGCCAGTAACATTTTCAATTTCAATTTTAGTTCACATTATGCCACAAGTTTGCATGTTCCTTCGCTGATTTATTAGGTAACAAAATAACAGGTTCACAGTATATTATAGCGCATGGAAGTCAACTGTCTTCCCAAAGGAAGCCAAGATCTACAACTCATAACATTTGTAGGAAACCAAAAACCAGCTCAACAGCAAAACACTGTATCGACCCTTTTAATAAAAGGTGCCAATACTCAAAAGATTTAATAAATACATATGTAACAAAAAGTAACTACGGTGAGATGAGGTTCTTCCAAAAAACTCCGTTTGTCAAGCATCCTGGGAGTCTGAGCCAAAGAAACGCCACCATTTTGTTCATCCCTCCACCCGCCCACTGACACTTCCTTTGACCCACTTGCATCCCCAGCTAACTCCAGTATCTCCTGTAGGGAAGGTTCCATGTTAGCCCTGGAACTTGCCAGGGCCGCAGTACACAGACTGAAATGCTAAAACGTGAACAGCTGTACAATGTGGCTGATGGGAGGAAAGGTGCAGAGCCTTCGTTCTTCCTGGGAAAGGACGGGGTTGGTGCTGCCTAGCTAAGGAGAGCTGGGCGCAAGACAGTCCCCGTGGTGTCTCAGCTCTGCCACCGCTGACTGCGGAACACCAGTAGGATCGGAAAGATACCTTGGGAAGCTTAGCAGCGCCGGATAAAGGAGATACAACTCACAGGACAGAAGAAAAGCATCACTAAAAACAAAGAGCATAGAGCTATTTTCCTGAAGCTTGGTTTTGGTAGAAAGATAAGAAAAGCAACTTTCCACTGTGCACAAAAGCTACCTCCTCCTGGCTTTGCCTGCCCTGAGCCCCACACCTCCTCAGCCTCTGGAATTCTCATGGCTGGGGGAGCTCAGCCCGGGGCAGCCGCTAGCAACCGCGAACGGCTTCTGTTCGCCCTGTTCCACCCGGAGGACGAATTCAGTTTCGAGGTTACTCACTTTTAAACATTTTCACTGGCAAAACTTAAAGCTATAGTTGCAGCTCTAAAAGGTGAGTATCTACCCCATTCTTCTGTCCTTCCGTCAGAAAAGAGGCAGAGAAGCTAAAAACGGGAAGCGGTGTTTCCAGGGACAAGTTAAAGGAATGCATTGAAAGGAGACCCCGGAAGCCATTTAGAAAGATGAGCAAAGACCCCAAAAAGACTGTCGACGTTCATAGGAAATGTCATTCTAATTCAGCCAGACACAGCCAGTGGCATGGCATGTACCTGATCCTAAAATTAGCAAATGTTATTCATCTAAAACTTACTACAATCTGATTGCAGTTAACTCTACCTCAGACTAACATAAAACCACGAGTAGTGCTGCATGTAGAAAAACGAAGGGGGAGAGTCACACAGCCAGACCCCTGAACTCGGAGCCACGCCGCTGGTGGGCCGCTGGGGAAGAGGGACGTCTGCAGAGAAACCAGGTAAGAGTGCTTTGAACATTTCCCCACTCGAATTAGTCCCACAGTCCTTTAAGTTATTCTCTTGACTGATAGAATAAAATATATCCAGATTCTGAATTTTTTGATATATCTGATGTCAGGCCATAGAATTCTTCAATAGCTTGGGCATCTATTTTCTGCAAGCAAAAGAGAAAACAATGCAACGGTTTAACATGATTCCTGGGAGAAGGAAAGAAACACTAATGGAATGCACAAGAAAATGTAAGGAACACTATCATAAAATTGGGAACTTTCAATAGCAAATGGATAGCTCCACAGACCTGACAGAGGGACATGATTACATACATTGCATATCGTTGGGGAAGAAAGTCACCCTTTAATCTATCAGCAACCATAGGTGGGCGCTCTTGGAAGAAGCCAGGACTTCCACCTTTCAAATGGTAAACTGGGGGAGCTCTTGGGAATAACCTTAATTCTTTCAGGCCATCAGAGTTTCTTCCCTTTAGTGCTACCTTAAGTGGGCTAAAAGAGACCACGTCTTTGAGTGTGGAATTCTCTCCAGCTAGTATTCCTTTACAACAAAATGAACACGTGGAATACTTTGGTATCATATAAAGATTTCCAGGTTTAACAGGTTGAAAAAATATATATTTTAAAATAATAATCCATACAAGAAAAATTTGGTATAATAAAAGAATTTGAATAGAACTTTGAAGTTGATTATTTGGTCCCAGAGAGGGCTTTCGTCACTGTAGGAAACAGGACTTACACATGGGCGGCAAAGAGATCCCACGTCTACGGCTGATCAATTAACAAGAACGCAGTATTGATGAGTCCATGATCACACCCCTTCTCCCCTTCCGGAGAGAACGGGGAGCAGCAGAATTTAGTTTTGAGAGAAATGTAAGTTGTTTTCAAGTCAGATTATGGGAAAGCAGGCCTACTTTAGAAAATGTCCACACACACACATCCCCAAACACCGTCTCTGCCCCACTTCTCTCTGATACAGTCATCTGCATACCAACCTCTACAATGTCATCATCAAACAGAAGCCAGAAGCCGTGACTTTTCACAATAGTAATATAATGCCCACGGTTAGGACCACTGGAAAAGAACGAAGAAAGTCACCAAGTTAACATCTATTTCTCCATAAAACTCTATGTAGCTCTCTACATGCAGTGATTTACTAGGGAAAAGAACCCTCTAACTTCAGGACAGAGAACTTGGTATATATGTCTATTTCCACATTCCTTTGGCCATAACTCACGGAGGGACACCCAGGGGCCGGAGCTGTGCTGGGTATAAGAGAAAGATGAGAAAAACCTCATCTTAGTCTTCTAAGGACTCGCAATCTGCTGGGGGAAACAGACATTCAAATTCAACGATTAACACATAATTTTGGTACACCCACTATGTGCCAGACCCATCCTGGCTGTCGGGCTAAAAAGCAGAAAACGAAACGAAGTCCCCACTTGCTTGAGATGAGGGTTGGAGAGGTAATCAACAAACTAAAATACAAATATATTTCAATTGGTGGTAAGTGCCGTGAAGAATATAGCAGAGCAATGGGATGGTGAGCGATAGAGGGAAGGCGGTATTTGATATAACGTGGTGAAAAAAGGCCTCTCTGATGACAGGAGAGTTGAACAGAAGGAATTTCCCTGACGGAAGGGGAAGGGGCGTGTGTGTGTGTGTGTGTGTGTGTGAGAGAGAGAGAGAGACAGAGAGAGAGAGAGAGAGAGAGAGAGAGAGAGAGAGAAAGAGGGAGGGAGAAGCCATGTGACCACGTGATGGAAGTGTCGGGAATGGGAAAGAGCAAGTGCAAAGGTCTGGGGGAGGCGTAGGGGTGGGAATAGTTCTTGGCGTGTTCCCCCAACAGCAAAGCAGCCAGAGCCCAGTGAGCCCGGGGTGAAGGAGGGACGGGAATGGGATATCGCGGCGAAGATTCTGGACTCTGCTGTGAGTGAGCCAGGAAGACACTGGGGAATTTTGAGGAATGACGTGATCTGGTTCAAGTTTTAGAAAGATGTGACACTAAAATGTATAATAACAAGCACGAAAACAGAAAGATACATTACACAAAGCAGAAAGAACAACCAAACAGCTGCTACTATGTAGTTGGGTGTGCACAACTGAGGGAATTTTTAACTCTAAATCTAGAGTTCTGTGTTTTTTCGATGCACCATCAAAACTGGAAAGCTGAATTTGCCTTAGTTTGCTTTCTTTAAACACAACATGCCCCAAAGGGTCTGTTCCCACCTTTGTCAGGCCACTCTCTCCCCTCCCCCCGAGCTCCAGTCCACAGGCCTCCTCTGTTTTCATACACATCACGGTTCCCATCTCGGTTCTGTGCCCACTGGAGCTTGCCTGAAACTGTCTTCACCCATGTTTGCCTTCTTGGCTCTTTTCATTCCTTAGGCCTCAGCTCAAATGTCATCTCGGTAGACAAATCTTTGCCGACCACCTTCCCTAAAGAGGTGCCTCCACTGCTCTCTCTCATTGCCCCGATCGTTCCTCATGGCACTAATCACAATCATAAAGTGACTTTGCAGTGGTTTGGTTTTGGTGGTAGCAGCTGGTGCGTTTACTTATTAACTGTCTTTCCCACTAGATGCCCAGCTTCGTGAGGGTAGGGCCCCTGTGTGTCCCGTTCACTGCTATAACTTCAGATCTTGCTACGGAACCCAGGAAACAAGGGTTTAAAAATGCTTGCAGGAGAAATCAATGAAGGAGGCTGTGCACCTGAGGCAGCTGTGGGCCGGGGGTCCTGGCACAAGAAGGAAGGGCTGAGCTCCCTAACCTCAGAGCTTTCCAGAGCCCACAGCCAGAAGCCACCTGCTCCGTGTATGAGAACAATTCCACCTCTAGTGGGGAGGAATTTAAAGAATCCTCATTAGTAGCATGCGTGACTCGGCACCAGCTCAGCCTTGCTGCCAGGGCTGCTCTGACCTTGTGCCCCAGTTACAGAGACTGACTGTTCTAGAACTCAACCTCCTACTTGTCCCCCAGTTCTCATAAGTGGGTCTCTGCCTTGCCTTCACCAGCGTTCCCAGGGACCAGAGTCAGCACCCACAGAGATCCATACTGAAAACCCCTGCGTACCCCACACACCTGATTGCTTTTGCTTCTCCACCTCCTGTCCACATTGCCCACCTCGGCCACCAGAGACCCTCCAGGTACCAGGCTCTGCCTGCCCCCAAGACCTCCTCCCGACCCAGTGTTCATGGCTAGTTTCCAGATCGCTGAACCCCTATGTTCTTTAAAAGAATTAACCGCTAGAAGTATTCTTCAGGGGAAACAGAAAGATGGCTTACAACTGACCGACAAATACAACTTCCTGAGAACGTAAGGCAATAACCCGTGACTTAAAGTTACTCTGCATGGGACAAAACATGAGGTGCTTCAGATGTGAAGCCACAGTTTCTGATACCATCCACTCAGTACAGGGCAAGAAATCAATCCATCCCTCCACGGGGAACCACGCATCCTTTTGGTAATGGTCTGTTCACCACAACCCAATCCAGGAGAATGGAGAGGGAAAGACACCTGCTCTGTGACAGGCCCTAATCTGAAACCTATAAGGGTGACGGCGTGCCGATCCCAGGGAGGGGACACAAACCCGTCCCAGCGAGCAAAGGATAGCAAAGAGGTGAATTTCCGGCAGACTTTTCCAGGCTTTACACCAAATTACGGAATACAAAATACTTCCTCAAAAGACTTCCAGCAAAGACACTTTGCTTCTCTACATCGAGGGGCCCTCTCTCTTACTCCTTTTTTTTTTCTGATTATGTACTTATTATAGAATATTGGGGAAAGACTAAAAACGGAATAAAGAATATTTGTTAAGAGTACATTTCAATCATTCAAAATGCCAAAAAATTTTTAAATTCCATCTACTGCTTCCAGTCTTTATTCACACATCTTAAACCACTTCTGAGATCATACTATACGTGTAACCTGGTTTCTTAATTAAAATCATAGCATAAACATTTCTTTCTCCATGTGATTTCAAACTCCATAAGCGTCATTTATATCCAATGGAGACTTAGTATTTCCCTTATGAGAGAACGTTTAGATTATTTTTATTATAACGCAACTGTTTTATTTTTTATTAACTTATTTTATGTATGTACATTTAGATTCATTTTGATGTGACAGATAAACCAGAGCTTGGAGGAGACTCCCCAAAGCACCATTACCGCTGAGTCTCACCAGCCGGGAAGGGTGCGGTGGGGTCCACCTGGCCCGGGGACAGCCCTCCCGCTTCTCCCACGCCGCGCTCCCCACCTGCCCTCACCTGCCGCAGTGGACCACCACCGCGACCAGGTCGTACATGCGGTCCAGGTTCACCGCGTCGCTGGAGGTGTTGAAGAGCCGCAGTTCCAGGGGGAAGACCACCCGGTAAGACAGCTTGGTGTACCTGTGGAGCTGCTCCATGTACTTGAATCGCTTGAGGTGCAGGGCCAAAATCATGGGCAGCTTTTTGACTCTCATCCTAAGAAACCATGACGTAGAAAATCAGTGGTAGCCAACCCCCATGAGAGGAAGAGAATACAACGCCACCTGCACAAATGGAGAGCAGGAGGGGTCCAACAAAATTCAAACCAGCAAACGGCCAAACCACTCGCAAGAATGAAAGGATGCTCGCTTATGTAGAGCTGACTTCTACAGGCTCGGCTAGCTGGAGCCTAGCCAGCAGAGAAAAGCGCAATGATGGTGGGGGGGTGTGTGTATCTGTTTGGTCAAAGGAGACATCCCAGGGCTTTCGTACCAATGAAAGTATGTGCAATTGCTCTGCACCACTGCCCTCTGCCTCCCAGGGAGAACAGTATTTGGACAAACCCCCTCACCCTGAGATCAATGGAGACGAGGGGGGAGAGTTTCTGAGAGAAGGAGGTTGGGGAGAGGACAAGCGGAAAGGTGCAGTCTGGACGCACAGGTTCTGAGGACCGACCAGCAGGGATGCCTCAGGTAACCAGGCATGCTGGACCCACTCTCCCTCCCTACCCCTGTGCTTCTGGGCAAGTGATTTCCCTTCTCTGGCTCTCAGGTTCCTCGCTTGTAAACGCAAGGGTTGGCTTAGGGCTACATTTACCCAAACAGGCTCATGAGAGCCCTGGAGATGTTAACGGATGTGGGGTTTCTGGGGCCAAGTCTGCACAATGCTCCCTTCTATTCTGAAGTTCCTCCTCGCACACTAGCATACTGAGGGATTTGAGAAATCCTGCAGAAAAGGATTTTCTTTTGTGTTTGATGCAGCATTTCGTCAACTTACATAAACACGGAAAGCTTTTTTCTCTAGATGACCGTTAATATTCCTCGGTAGGAAGTCACAAAGACCACAGTTTTACGTGGATAACGCTGCTAGAATAGAGGATTTTCTGGTTGCCTTCCAGGACCCCCTCTATGAAGGTCCTGAATCAGCGTAAATGCTGCTCAACTTGTGCACATTTTCAATGCATATTATTTGTAAAGGACAAATTTTAAGAGAATATTACTCAGAAATCTATGGAGTAAAAACCCTGTTCATAAAAATAAGCAAAATAACATCATTATCAGAAACATAAGATTTATAGTGAACCCTATATTTTTCAGGAACATGACATTTTAATGTATAAACCTCCAGGGCTAAACAGAAAACACCTTCATGCCCCATAGGAAGACCTAGGTTACATGGGTGGGAGCAGAGGTGAGTTCCTCGACCACTAGCAAGTGATAACTCCTGCCTGCCACCACAGCGACTAAGCTGTCTTAAGTTCTGATGCACCAAGAAAAGATGTGCATGTCTGAGGATGGAGGGCTGGGAGACTGGGCAGAGAAACTATTTCGACCTCAGCTCTAGACCCCTGAGGGTTTTAGGCGGCAGGAATGGGCGTCTGTGAGTTACCCCGAATATACCACAACCATGGGCAGGGTAACCTTAACTCACAGTAAGGCTTCACAGGCTAATTAAAATGTCAAGTTTCTTGGCTTCTGGGTGACAGAATACAGGGAAGGACTGGCTATTTCACACTGTCCAAGAGCTGGAACTGGCTGGTGCTGGTAAAAAGATGGGCAGCTCTGGGTCCTGTATCAACTCAGAATATGATAACTTTCTTATCACCTATCCACAAACTGATGATACTGATTTCCTCGTGATTCCTTATTAAATGATTTTTTTCTTTTTTCTTTTTGCCTGTCTTCTAAACAAGAAGTTCCAATATTTAGGCAATACTAACAATACTATCGGGTGACCACTATGTGTTATGTGCTATGCTAAATCCGTTTTATAATTTGTCTTTAATCCCGAGAGTGCTTATACTTGCTCACCACTTGTTTACCCAGCACAAGTATCTGGCACGTTGAATGAATGAATGAACAAACAATCAGACGAAAGGGCAACTTCCCCAGGTAGGTGTTCTTATCCTATTTTACCAGTGAGGAAGGTAACTGACTTCTCCAAAGCTACTTGGCTACAAGCCCATGGAACTGGGATTCAAAAATCAGATCTGTCGGGCTCCACCGTCTGGTTCCTTCTGACGACACAAAGCCACCCCCTGAGCTAAACTCTTTACGTACCTTTTCTGGGCTTCCTGTTTGCTACAACACGTTTCACAATAATACTTCTGTTCACTACACAGTGTTTCTGTGTTGCTGAAGTCTCTGCAGAGAAAAATATTTTCAACTTAAAAGAAGTCCAAAATGCACTCAGTTTACCATGTTTTAAACCCCCTATTACCTGTAGGGTAATTTTTAAGTGAACGTGGGGAAAGAAGTAATGAGAAAAGATCCTTCTTAGAAGCAGGTGCTATGATGCATTGGAGCACGTCCACTGGGCTGGGTTATGATTTCACCACGAGAGATTTTCAAGCGTAGCTTTATTTAATGGGACATAGATAGATCTAAATTAGGATTTCCAACTGATTCAGAAAAAAAATTCAGGGTTTAACAGACAGTACCTGTAAATTGGAAATAAAATTACAATGGAGGGCTTCCCTGGTGGCTCAGTGGTTGGGAGTCTGCCTGCCGATGCAGGCGACACGGGTTCGGGCCCCGGTCCGGGAGGATCCCACATGCCGTGGAGCGGCTGGGCCCGTGAGCCATGGCCGCTGGGCCTGTGCGTCCGGAGCCTGTGCTCCGCAACGGGAGAGGCCACGACAGAGGCCTGCATACCGCAAAAAAAAATACAAAATAAAATTTAAAAAATTACAACGGAAAAATACTAACTCTAGTAAAAGCCAGCCATTTCAGTGAAAGTCGAGTCCAAAAATGTCAGTCATACAAAATGCAAGGTGTCCTTATTACGTGGTTAATGAAAAATGGTCTGTCTCAGGTGGTCTGTATTTTCAAAGAGCACAAAAGTAAAGATAATAAAATTTAAAGCATGTTCAGTGGCCCTTATATTGAACTAAGAAAGTCCCAGATGATCAGGAGATGTCTACCAAGCCCTTACTCCCCACCTCCCCACACGCCGGAAGATAACGTCAGCCTGCCTCCTGAGAACAAATGCCACTGGGATGTTGTATCTGTATTCACCTTGCCATGAGGTTTTACTGTACTACCTATGGTTTTCATTTTTTAAATGTCATGGCTTTTCATTCCTCTCTGGTCACTGAGATCCTACTTAACATTCCTGTGGTACTGCTTCAAAGGCTGAATAACATTCAGAATATCATAATACCCCAGAGTCTTGAAAAAGTCTATGACATTTCCTTATTCATAGGGAGTGTCCTAGCGCCAGAATGATCAGATTTATTAAATAGAAAATGGTATTTACATGGTGTCAATGACTCAACCGCTTAAACAGAGCTTATCAAGAGAACACACAGGTTGTTCATTCATTAAATTCCCCAGTGGCTACAGACAGTACCCTGGGCTAGGGGCTGGGGATCCGCAGAGAACGCCTGCCCTCACACAGCTCACAGTCTACCAGAGACACGTGCAAGAAGCCACTTGCAACACTTAGTGTTCACTGAAGGCTAAACATAAATCATTTCACACGATTGACTCCCCTGCCTAAAACCCTCCAATAGTTTCTCGGTGCAATCAGGAATAAAATCCAAATTTCTTACCATGGCCAACAGACCGCCTGTCCTCAGAGTCCTGACTGCTCTTCTGACCCACCTCCCGCCCCACCCCATCTCCTTCACTTTGCTCCAGCCCCGCCGACTGGCCTTCTGTGTAGCTCCAGGGCGCCACGCTCTCCCTGCCTCGGGGAATTTGCTGCTGCAATTTCCCCTGCACCGACAGCTTCTTTCCAGATGCTTCCATGGCTGGCCCTGCTCACTGCTCAGAGCCCAGCTTAAATGTCACCTCTTTGGAGAGGACTTCCCCAGCCACTCTCTCCAAACCCATCCAGCCCCTACTCTGCTGCCGTCTTGTTTTCTTCTGAGCACTTATCACTACCTGAAGCACCCTCCTGTTTGTCGCACCACCCGCCTCCCCTCTGTGTGAGCAGTGACCCTGTCTGTCTCACTCACTGCTAGAACCCCAGCACTGAGAACAGGCCCAACCCATAACGGCCCTCAATAACGTGTGTTGGCTGAACAAAGAGAGAATCGTGTGTATAAAGTCCAGGGGAAAGCACAGAGGACAGAGAAATGAACTGGGATTATTCAGGACGTTTCCCCGAGGGGTGATATCTGAGTCAGGTTCGCAAAAAGGGAAAGTGAGCCAGGGGAATAAGAGTCCAGGGTCCCAGACAGAGCGAAGGCTGAGGCCCAAAGGCATGAACGCAAGGTACAGAGCACGCTTCTTAGAAGCTGCGTGGACCGTGTGGCTCTCTAACCGGTCTCTGCAGGGGCGACAGCATCAGACAGTGCTTTTTGGATCACTTCTGGCGGCACTCTGGGGGAAGGACTGGAGGGGCTCGAAAAGCAAGGAAACAATTTAGAAGGCAATTACACTCAACCCCCAGATTTCAAGTGCTTGGTGCCTAATACAGACTCAAACTTAGCTGGATGCATACTAGCCAGCTCTTCACGGAGTAACTGATGTGAAATCTCTTCTTGGCCCACACACGGTTTATTGGGGTGGAACGGAACAACCAAGGAGAAGTGGGGGATGAGCCCGGGTGACGGTGGAGATTCACATTTTTGGAATGTCTACCACAGACAAATCTCTTTACCCAACTAAAGAATCAGAATAAGGCAAGCACAACAACAAATAAGGAATTAAACACTTTCTACTCTCTCTTATTCCCCACCCCCTGCCAAAAAAAACAGAAGTTTTTGTAGACCCACTACGTAGAAATATAGCAGAAGTTGGTACCTAATGTGAAGACCTGATTCACAAAAAACCACCATCCTGCCCAGCCCTAGCTGGCTGGAAGCTCAATGACACAGGAGAGACAGGGTGACGCTTTTGGAGCACCTGTGAGTTGAGAATTGGAAAATGCGGCTAAGTTAGGAAAACAGAGTGGCCCTGGCAAGAAACTGAGGCACAGCAGATCTGTCAGGTGATGCTATACAGTTGTGGGAACAAAAGCAGGCAACAAAGGTTGAGGAAACTTTTCAATGAGAAAATCAAAGAGAAGAGGAGAGAGTAGAGAGGTCTTTTTGACACAGGATAAATTACAACAAAGCACAGAGGAGAGGTTACTGGGAAAGCACAAAACTCTTTGTAGTTCTTTAGAAAGAATCAAAGTGGAAATGAAACACTTTTTAAAAATACACTTTGGGAGCAAATCTAATATGAAACACATACCTTTAAATGGAAACTATGAAACCTAATGGAAACGTATACAAGAAAACTTGAAAAAAATGGAGAAAAACTATGTTCCTGGGTAAGATGGCTCTAGGTTGTAAAGATAGCTACCATGTCCATGTTTAATGTCTATGTTTGATACATTTTTAATTAAAGTCTTAACTTTTCACTCCACACAATAGCTAAAAAATTGAATTTAAAAGAATTCTCAAGCTAGGCTTCCCAATAATTTTCATGTCATGACCCACATAAAATAATGGTGCTACGTAGAAATGAGCTGGGGTACACCGATGCGACTGCTTCTCTGGCAGCTCCAGGCTCTGCCCAGCCTCCCAGAAGCTGAGGGGATCTACACGCACCTGTAACCCATCTTCTGGGGCACACCAGCTGGGAAGCTTTGTTCTAGAATCTGCAGCAGTGGTTCACCCAGCTGCTCATCAGAATCACCTGGGGAGCTTTAAAAACAATCTCAATCGCCCCTCCCCCTCCCCCAAGCCTAATTACAACAGAATCTCTCCAGGTAGAACCAGGCACTATTGTTCTTAAAGCTCCCTAGGTGGTTCCAGTATGCTGCGTGGGCTGAGAGCCACTGTCCACAATGCTTTGCAAATATTAACATGCACTCATGCACCGGGAAATCTTGTCAAGACGCAGGCTCTGAGTCATGCACTCATTCTTGGAGGAGGCCTGAGATGCTGCCGTATTAATGAGATCCCAGGTGATATCAACGGCACTAGTCCACAGACCCCTGCTTGAGTAGCACAGATCTAGAGCGGGGGTTCTCAAACTCTGGTGGTATGAAAACCACCCAGAAAAATTAATTAAAAATAGATGCCCAGGCTCACAAAAGTCGAATATGGCCTGGGCCTCCATTTTTACCTACTTCCCCAGGTGATTCTGATATGCACCAAAGTTTGAGAACTACTGACTAAAGAAGGTCAAAAAAAGAAAGACATGTCAGATATTAGCAAGCACCATATATAAATAATAACCAAAACCAAGACATAAGTGAGGGAAACAGAGAAACTAATAGATGAGCATATGGCAATGGATGTGTGATGGGGATGCGTGTAAACTTAGCACATAGAGGAAGTTTCCAAAATGAAAAGACAAGACATTTCTTTAAAAATAGAGTAATTTACAAAATAGAGCTTTGGGAGAACTAAAAGGCTGACCTCCCTGGCCCTGGGAGAATGGGAATTTTTAATGACAGGAGGACACAGGAAGAGCAGAGTGGTTTCAGAACGTGGAGCCCTTTGAGGAGAACGGTACATTTCTGTGCAGGAACCACAGGGAGGGACTAAGGCCCTGAAGCAAAAGACAAAAAAATACTGAAAAGGACATGGGGGGGATAATTAAGATAAACTTCACGTATTTTTGCCTGAGGCCATCCCTGAACTTTTTAAAAGAAAAGAAAAAAAAACTTTCTCAGTATCTTCCTATGATACAGATGGCTCACTCTGCCTAAGACAGGGTGCTGAGATGTGAAATATTAGAATCATAGCTCAGCTACAATATGGCTTTAGTGCCTCCTCTAGACCTGTATCCTGAATTAACCACCATTTATATCATCATTTCTCTGGGACAAAAGTTCACTGAAAACACACTGTAACTGATCATCTAAAGCCCTTCAGGAAGGAGGTGGCAGAGATCTTACATTTAAATCCTACAATGTTAGCTTGATTTTTAACTTTTCTCAAAATCAAAACAAATGATAAAGTATCACATCAGAAGAGATAGGCAGGCATGATGTTAAAGAAGAAAACTCCTAATTCTAGTTTGAGAAAGAAACCCTCAAGAATGCAAAGCAAATTAAACCATGAGAGGGGCCAAAAAAGATCACAATCATTCCTCCTCTGTCGCCTCAAATAGAAAAGGCTAACGCATCAGCTGGCGTCATTGACTCCCCGGAACTTTCTCCTGCACTTGGTTCTTTTGGGAAAGGCTGGAAAGCTGCCACCCCCATCACAGAACTCTCAGCGGTGAATGGCGACACCTGGCAGGGCCTCTCTTTATGTTGGGGAGGTGAGACCTTAGGCATATATGAGGGCAGGTCTAGGTAAGTCAGTCAAGGTCTATTTTAAGGATGAGGTAAGATGGGGTGGGGCAGGCCCTTCAGGAATATCAGCCTGGACAGTCTGATGAGAATCTGATGTTGTTTAGAAGGTACTCTGAGGCTATTCCGTACCCACCCATCCTGCTTTAACGCCTCCACATGCCTCTAGCCTGCCTTCATCGGGTACGCATCGCCAATATATACATTTCTCCAAGGAAAAGAAAAGGGCGGGGGGAAACATAATTCTGGGTTACGTTTGTTTATAACAAGGTTCCCCAAAGTTTGGAATTATAACTAACTAGAGTTAGCCCTTTACCTGGTTGGTCTCAAAGCTATAGTCACTGCCATCTGCCCTTCTGAACAGCCCAGAATTTCTTAGAGGGGAGGGGAACAGTCAGCCTCCCAAACTAACTCCCCTTCTCAAAGAAGCAGAAATGGGCAAGTAATACCTTTCCTCCCTCCCCCTCACCTACGACCGGCGCTGGCACCACCTTACCTTTTTCGACTCCCTGTGAACACAAAACCCGGAGGAAATCAAAACCGGCTGCTTTTCACAGGAATATTAGGAGCCCGTGCCATAAACTGAACCATTCAGAAGAAAGAAAGGCCATCCAGGCCCACAAAACGCTTTGCAAACAAAGAGGTAACAAATGTACCCTAGACACGTGGACCCAAGGCATCTGGAGACAAGGGATGAAACGTCAGACCAACAGGAGGTGCTGCAGTAACTCTAAGGGGTGAGGGTAGGCTCAGAATCCTGGGAACTGGAGAGTAATCAGCCCCCAGCTCACACAATACATGACCCTCAGATGGACCAGGATGCTCTTCCAGGTTGGAGTTGGTGCCTTTGCCCTGAAAAATGACTTTCTAACAGCCAAATGGCCACAGCAAGTCTCTTTAATCTAGTCTAAAGAGTTCTAAGTAACCTGAACTCCTGATAGAACAATTCTGTTACACAATTCCCACTGATAAAGATCAACAGTGGCTTGAAAGAGAAAGACAAATACCATGTGGTATCACTTATATGTGGAATCTAAAATGTGACACAAATGAACTGATCTATGAAACAGACTCACAGACATAGAGAACAGACTTGTGGTTGCCAAGAGGGAGGGGAGGAGGGGAGGGATGGACTGGGGGTTTGGGATTAATAGATGCAAACTATTATAGAGAGACTGGATAAACAACGAGGTCTTACTGTACAGCACAGAGAACTATATTCAATATCCTGTGATAAACCATAATGGAAAAGAACATGAAAAAGAATATATATATATATATATATGTATAACTGAATCACCTTGCGGTACAGCGGAAATTAACACAACATCGTAAATCAACTATACTTGAATAAATTTTAAAAAATAAACAAAACAAAAAAAAATCAATAGTGCCTTGTAGTGACACAATAAAACATCTCTGAGCTGAGGTATCATAAGCAATGGGAAGGCCCACCTGACCACCTGGTCTACACTGGCACCCCCAATACCAGGCACTCTCTAGACGTGTTTAATGTCCTTCAAAGCACTGATCCCTGTCCATGGATTCCCACTAGACTGTAAGCGCCATGAGATGCATACCTACTGCTCACCCTTGACCTCCAGTGTCCAGAACAGTGCTGGGCTAATTATAAGTGCTCATGACCACTTGTCGAAAGGAGGAGAAGACAGTGAGGACAGGAGAAGGGAATTGTGCCTCTACATCAACTTTGAGCACATTTTCAACATATGAGTCAATGCACAATAGCTACAGTAATCCTGGGCATGTGTTGCTCTTATACTCTGGGCTCCTTGCCTTTCCTCAACCCTAATTAAGAGAAAGTTTTTTTCCATAAGTGAGCTCCATACAATGCTGAAAGATGGAGGAAAAGGTAATGCCCTCATTGGTTCTCGGCTCAAAAGTGCATAACTTTTCTTTTTGGCCACGCTGCACAGCTTGCGGGATTCTTAGTTCCCCGACGAGGCATTGAACCCCGGCCGCAGCAGTGAAAGCTCCAAATCCTAACCACTGGACCGCCAGGGAATTCCCATAATGTTTTAAATAACAGAATAGATTAGCTTAGAAAAAGAAAGTAATGGTAGGCATCTGTAGCACTTTTTAACTTAATTGTGTGACTCTGTGATTGTGTGTGTCTCTGTGTGTGAGAGGGAGAGAGGCCGATGAGAGCCCAAAGCACACATCTGTATTAAAGATCAAAACCTTATTTTTAAACGCAATGACTAATGACTTCCACTTGGTCCTCTCTCTCCTCAGCAGGACTCTTCTCCAGACCACATACACTTATTTTTAAATCTCTCTTAGGAAAGAAGAAATAGAAAATAATAGGATTATATTCGTTTAACAGAAAGGAAGATTATGTCCTGAAGAAACACAAGATTTTTCCCCCCATGTACTTACTAGCCTGATCAAAAGCTCAGACCACTGTCAGAATTCGTGAGGTTACCTTAGACAGTGGGTAATAGATGTATTCTGCTCCACATCAACAGAAAGGTCAAGAAAATCTTCATCTTTGCTACTAACCTGGAGCAAAAAAAGAAAAAAAGCATTAGGCACAAAATACATAATAGACAAGTTGATAAAACTTTGAACACCTACAGGTAACCAAAAACCATAACTGCAGTCAAAGTCAGGTATGGCTTTGTATACTCTCTAGCTACCAGTTACCTTGAAAACAATCCAGAACAAGAGAAAATCCTAAATTCTCCATTTAACCTCAGATTCTGTGTCCAGCTTTGATTCAGGCTTTTCATAATTAAAACTCAACCAGATTTCTCTTCCTGTCCGTTCATTGCCCCCACTGTTTCAAAGCAGGAAACATCAAACAGGTATCCATATAGCTCAGCCTGGCAGAATGATAACAATGGAAATGGAAAAAGGACAAGAGCCTTAAAAAGCTTACTGCTCAGGGCTTCCCTGGTGGCACAGTGGTTGAGAGTCCGCCTGCCGATGCAGGGGACACGGGTTTGTGCCCCAGTCCGGGAGGATCCCACATGCCGCGGAGCGGCTGGGCCCGTGAGCCATGGCCGCTAAGCCTGCGCGTCCGGAGCCTGTGCTCCGCAACGGGAGAGGCCGCCAACAGTGAGAGCTCCTCGTACCACAAAAAAAACAAAAACAAAACCTAATGCTCAGATGATCACCCTCCATTCAGCTGTCTGCACTTCTTGCCAGTCCCCAGAAATCACTCCCTTCCTCCTGTGCCTAGTCATTCAAACTGTGTGGGGGGCCCGGGCGCTGAATGTGCTATGGGCTGCAGGGTCTCTCTCTCTCTCTCTCTCTCACACACACACACACACACGCACGCACGCGCGCGCACACACACACACACACACAGAGCTGTCCTCTGGCCCAGGAAGTGTTGTCCTTTGTAGAACACGCCCATGCTGTCTGTGGTACCAGCCAGACCTGGAGCTGGCCGGGAGCCTGGGCTCACACGGGTCCAGCAGACTGGACTGCTCTCAGCCACACCCATCCCCAGCCCTGGCTGTTTCTTGGCCTGCACAGCTGACACCACACCAATTCTGGGTCTGTACTTATCAAAGCTCACCGAGTGGTGCCTGCCTTCCAGCAGCTCACCAGCTTGCCTGGCATTTCACTGTCTTGGAGTGGGAGGGACAAACTAGCCCAGCAGGAACTTTGAGATGCCCAGTCAATTGGCAGCAAAACAAAAATCATACTCCTGTAAGTGAGACAACTATCCTATGACCCAACACTCCAACAGTCAGAGATGTGGACACAATCCTTTGTACTTTCATTTGTGTACCAAGAATGGGTATTGGCAGACTGCCCAACTCCATATCCTGTCTCTGCCACTTATAAAGTGGATGACACTAGGCAAGGTACTTAGCCTCTCTGTACCTCAGCTTCCTCATCTGTAAAGTGGGAGCAGTAAGAGTATCTATTTCATAAGGTTGTTGTAAGGATGAAATAAGATAATACATGTAAAGCGCTTTAAGAAGTAAGTAAGCATTCAACAAATCAAGGATGGAAAAAACATTTAAAATGGCCTAAAATGGTCAAAAAGTTGGGAACGGGTTACTACGCTGTGAGTATCATATCAAATGAAACATGAGACTGCTCTCCTGCACTTCCACCATCACCATGAGAAGGGTAACCCAGGCTAGCCCACTGCTTCCCAGAAAAAGACGAGAGACCCACAGAGGAGAGCTGTTCCCACTATAAGGTGCCCCAGCCGAGCCCAGACAGGAGCACCATCCCCACCGGCCTGAGACACATACGTCAGACAGCTGAAATGCACACGTACGGGCTCAGCCAAGGCCAGTTGGATCAGGCGACCCCCCACCGACCCATGGTTGCACGAACTACAGTAAAAGAATCAGAGTGGATTTAAGTCTCAGAGTTGTAGGGAAGTTTGTAACAAAGCAACAAATATAACCAATACAACTACAACTACCATGACAGGCATTCCTCCTTTCACTGAACTTGGTGGATAGTGTGTTTCTTTCAACTTGGAGTTTTGTGGCAACCCTGTGTCGAGCAAGTCTACTGGCAGCAACATTTGCTCACTTCGTGTTTCTGTGTCACATTTGGGTAATTTTCACAATATTTAAAACCTTCTTCATTATTATTATGCTTTACGGTGCTCTGTAATCAGTGATCTTTGGTGTTACTGCTATGACTCACTGAAGGTTTCAATGATGGTTATCATTTTTTAGCATTAAGTACTTTTCAATTAAGGTATGTACATTTCTTTAGACATAATACTATTGCACACTTAACAGACTACAATACAGTGTAAAAATAACTTTTATATGTATTGGGAAACCAAAACATGTGTGTGACTCGCTTCACTGTGATATTCACTTTATTGCAGTGATCTGGAACCAAACCCACAATATCTCCAAGGTATGTCTGTAGGTATATTTTATTTTTATTCATTTATTGTCTATTTCCCCCTTACTAAAGTGAAAGTTCAAAAGTTCTGTAATGACTAAGATCCTGCCCTTCCAACACTCCTCCAGAAAAGTATAAACTCAAATAACTATAAACTAACAGCAACTACCTGAAGGCAATGGAGGCAGATGGGGAGTCCACACGTGGAGGAAAAGAGCTGCAAATAATGAGTTCATGGTTTCACAGCCTTTAGCGGGATCCACGGGGGAAAATGCAGTCTTTCTGGTCTAGGAGCCAGAAAAACCAATCTGGGAAACCATGTCTGCTGAGAAGAAGGGAAGGAATCTGAGAAAGTATCCCCAACTCTGTCTACCCACATCTCTGGCTGACCCTTGAGCCACACACATGCACAGAGTACACTCACAGCAACTTGGCTGGTGACAAAAGGGATGACCCAAGAGTCAAACTGCTGCCTAGGAAACAGTCTGCAGTGAGTCCAACCAAGATAACTACCTGCTAAAACTAAAGAAACTCAAAACTAAATGAAGAAAAACAGCAGAACCCAGAGTCTCTCAAACTGAACATTCTCAGTGTCCCAGATATGACCCAAACTTACAATATGTGAAGAACCAGGAAAATGGAAGATATTCTTAAAATAAAAGGAGGCAACTGAGACCAATCCTGGGATGACCCAGATGTTGGAAGTGACAAACAATGATTTTAAATAAGCTTTTATAAATATCTTCAATAAAGTGAAATATATTCACAGTGAACCAAAAAATAAGACATCTCGGCAGAGAAATAGAAACAAACAAACAAAAAGACTCAAATGGAAATTCCATAACTAAAAAATTAATACACTGGATGGACTTAACAGAGAACTGGAGATGACAGAGGAGACACCAGGGGACTTGAAGACAGAACAACAGAAATTATCCAAGGAGAAGAATAAAGGAAAAAAAAGAAAGATTGAAATAAAAATTAACAGATACTCAATAAACCTGTTAGATATCATACACATAATTGGAGTCCCAGATGGGGAGGAGAGAGAATAGGGCAGAAAAACGATCTGAAAAATAATGGCTGAATATTCCCTAAATTTGGTGAAAGACATACATTTATAAATTGAAGATACTCAACAAACACCAAGCAGGATAAATACAAAGAAGGCCAGCCAAGGTCAAACTGTTGAAAGCCAAAGGTAAAAAAGCAAATCTTAAAAACATCTAGAGAAAAATGACACGTTACAGCGGGCTCCCTGGTGCCCTAGTGTTTGGAATTCCAGGCTATCACTACTGTGGCCTGGGTTCAATCCCTGCTCAGGGAACTGAGATCCCACACGCTGCGTGGCGTGGCTAAAAAATAAATAAATAAACTTTTTTTTTTTTTAAATGACACATTACTAGAGAATGATTCTGTTGGAAGCTGGCCTCTCATCAAAAATTACAGAGGCCAGAAGACACTGCACATCTTTAGTATGCTAAAAGAAAAAGCTATCAAAACAGAATTCCTGCATCCCATAAATATATCCTTCAAGAATGAAGATAAAAGTGAACAGAATTCATTATTAACAGACTTGCACTACAAGAAAGACTACAGGAAATTCTTTAAACCAAAGGGAAAAGCTAGCAGATGGAAATCCAGATTCTCAAGAAAAAGTGAAGAGCATCAAAAATGGGAATTATGACACTGTCCTGTGGGGGTTATAATATACGTAAATGTAATACATGTAGCAACTATAGCATAAAGGACAAGGTAGGTCGGGGTGGAAGGAATATGCACCTACACAGTTATAAGTTAACTGTGTCTTATGCGAAATGGAACATTATTAATTGTATGGGGACTGTGAAGAGTGAAGAATATACTGTACTCTCCAGAGCAGCCACTAAAAAACAACATACGAAGATATACTAAGAGGAAAATTAAAATGGAATTGTTCAATGTAATATACACACACACAAATAATCCAAAAAGGGAAAAACATTTAAAAAGCAGAGAAGGAGAAAGAGAGAAACAAAAAGCTCCGGGGGAATAAATAGAAAACAAATAATAAAATGGGAGCCTCAACCCAACCATATCAATAATTATATTAAACACTAATGTAATAAACTTTTCAAGTAAAAGCCAGAAATCGAGTTGAATTTTTTTAAAAAGCAAGACCAGCTACATACTGCCCACAAGAGCTATACTTTAAATATAAAGAAACAGGTAAGCTGAAAAAAAACGGATGGAAAAAAATATACTATGTAAAGAGTTAATATACATATATAGTGGGCTATTTAATATAAGAAAACAGATTTTAGACAAAATTATGAGAAATAAAACTGGTATTTCCTAATACTTGGGTCAATTTACTAGAAAAACATAATCAAAAATATGGAAGTCCCTCATAACAGAGCCTCAAAAATATATGAAGCTGGAGCAGTATTCACCAACAAAATGGAATGAACCACATGCTACAACACAAATGAATCTCAAAAATGTTATGTAAGTGAAAGAAATCAGACACAAAAGACCAGATCTTGTATGATTCCATATATATGAAATGTCCAAAAAAGGCAAATATCTAAAGACAGAAAGTAGCTTAGCGGTGGCCTAAGGCTTGCAACAGAGATTAACTGCCCAATACAAAGGATCTTATTGGTGTGCTGGAAATGTTTTAAAACTGG